ATTTATAGTACTGGACTGTCTTAAATGTCTCTTCCCTAAAAGATCCAAGCTATGTAGAGATAATAATTTTGGTATCACATCTCTTTAATTATTTCATATATATTCATAAGTAGAAGTGAAGTGCCTTGAAGGAGTATTAATATTCCTGAGAGATAGATCTGAGGAAGGGAGAACTCTTTAATAGAGATCAGTATATTTTTTTCAGTATTTAATGGTAGGTAGCTGGCAATTCCTTTGAACAACTGAAAAAACAAAGTAACCACAATAAATAGCTGTATTGTGCTTCTCTCCATTTATCTTGATCTGATATTTTGATTATGACCTTTACTTTTTGTTGTGCAAAATCTTCATATTTATTATCTATACATGTTCTAAATTTCCATATTTCTGGATGTCATTACTAGGCAGGTGCTGAATAAAGCGTCATTCTCTTCCAGTAGGTGGATATGAAATCAGTATTTCCACAGTCAAAGCACTTAGACAGAACTTTGGAAGAGTTCGTAAAAGAAATTCTATTTATGTATGTCAGGTGGCACTATTTTCATGGACCCCCTACCTACATTTCTGTCTTAAGTGATGATAGCATTCTGTGACTTCGCTTTTGATACAGGTGAGAGTGCTGTCATTTCAGTGATGTTTTTTAAATTACTGACATGTCTATTTGAGTGGGGACATGATTATAAGAACAGCTGTCCTATCATGTAAATTCAGTGTTCATTTTTTTATGTACATGACATCCAAACCATTAACCTTTGGGTCAATGTCTCTAAAATCTGAATCTGTTTTCTTACAGGAGTTTTGTTTTTCTGTTGCAATGTCAGAACAACTGTAGTTTCCCTTGACCATGTGTAGAGCTTTGTATCAACAGCGTGGGACATAGGGTAAATAGGGATTTTGCTAATTGAACAATCCAAAAACATCTTCCTTCAAAGTAACCGAAATGTGTTCTTTTAATCCTAGTTTATAATTATGTCCTCCTTCCTCCCATTGTATTCCATAAGCTGTGATTAAAGCTCAGATCTGAAAGAACTCTTTTGTAAGAATAATTTTTTAAACTGTGTTTGATTAAATTCAGTCTCAAACATTGTGACTGGAATTTCTACTTTCCAAGTCATTGACTTAAGCAGGATCTAAAGGCCATATTTGAATGCTTTCATATATAACACGTAATTCCACAGGTGGGTCTGACTAGAAGCAAGGTCTTTATCTAATTAGGACCAACACTGTAGCATTCAAATAATATAACTGTGTTAGAAACCTGCTCTGATAGATATGTTCTTAGAGGGGAAAAATATTTTTGTTAGAAAATCAGTTAATATTGTTTTAAATATTAGTTCTTTGAAGATAACATTGAACTAGCTTATGAAAAATAAACACTATGTCTACTGGTACAAAACAAAAGTAAGCCTATT